CTGTTTAACTGTTTAACTGTTTAACTGTTTATTTAATTTATAGGCCGCCCAATCCCGGAGGACTCCGGGCGGCTTACAGAAACAGACATTGAGAAAAATTAAAAACAGATTAAAAATACGACAAATTTAAAAAGACACAACATGCACCCAATCTAAGCGGGGCTGGACCTCAATCCAGAGGTCAACAGCCCCAGGCCTGCTGGAATAGCCAGGTTTTAATAGCTTTTCGGAAGGCCATGAGAGTGGGTAGGATCCAGATCTCTGGGGGTTGTTCATTCCATAGGGCCGGAGCGGCAACAGAGAAGGCCCTACTCCGAGGTGTCGCCAGCCGGCATTGTCCAGCTGATGGCACCTGGAGAAGTCCCATCCTGCGCGATCTTATCGGTCTTAGGGAGGTTTGCGGCAGAAGACGGTCTCGAAGATATCCGGGTCCTAGGCCATGTAGGGTGATAACCAGCACCTTGAATCGTGCTCGGAGACCAGTAGGAAGCCAGTGCAGCTCGCGGAGGATAGGTGTAATGTGGGTGTACCTAGGTACACCCAGTATCGCTCGCGCGGCTGCATTCTGGAGCCCTGACACCAGCAAAATGTAACATATAAAGGTAGTACTCAAGGGTGGTGCCATGGTGGAACTCTTGCCTCACAGCCAGGAGACTGTGGGTTCGATCCCAGGTAGAGGCAGATATTTCTCTCTCTGGGCACACTGATACTATATCTGCCGAATAAAATTCCTCATTGGCAACAGGAAAGGCATCGGGCCAGTAAAGACTCAGCTCCATTCAGTTGCGCAGGCTCCACCCCACGAGGGATTACGGGGTCATTAAAAGAGGATGATGATGATGATGATGATACAGGTAGTCCTCAACTTATCACCCCAATGGAGCCCAAGTGAAATGTTCGTTAAGTGAGTTTGCCCGATTTTACGACTTTCCTGGTCATGGTTGTTAAGTGAATCTGGACTTTGCTGGTCAGGAGGTCGCAAAAGGGGATCACGTGACCCCAGGACACTGCGACCGTCATAAATATGAGCCAGTTGCCAAGCATCTGAATTTTGATCACGTGACCAATGGGAAAGCTGCAATGGTCGTTAAGTGTTAAAAAATAGCCATAAGTCATATTTTTCAGTGCTGTTCTAACTCTGAACGTTCGCTAAATGAACTGTTGTAGGTCAAGGACAAATTCTGTACACATTCTGAACTACAATGTAGTTTTGAGAAGTATATTTAGTGTAGTATATACTGTAGTATATTATATTTATACTATAGAGCAGCATATTTAAGGCTCATCTTTATGGCCTGGTAGAATTTCAAGCAGTGTCACAAAATGGCTGCCCTGTCACAAAATGGCTGCCAAGGTGCTCCTGAGCTAAGCTCATCTCATTTGACTACAAAGAGAAATGCAGGTAGGGTTGGTTATTTTGAGGACCACATGACCCCGAGATCAAGGGTGGGATGCGGCCGGTTTAATATCCCATTCGATGAGCGCATGTGTGGCCGAAGCGGTGAAAATGGAGCATTTAGAAGCTCAGCTGCTTATCTTCCAAGTCAGCAACGGTAAGTAGAACAGCTGGGGAAGGGAATCAGCTGTGCCGTGCGATTGAGATGAACTAGAAAGCAGGAAATAAAGGACAAGATAGGGTGGGGGCGGGGGGAGCAGCTGATCGTCGGAGCTAAAGGTTCGCCTGAATACCACCTCTGCCCAGGATGCTGCAACTTTCATAAATATGAATCAGTTGCCATCCAAATTTTTATCATATGACCAGGGCAAGTGCTGCAAGTGTGAAAAACGATCATAAGTCACTTTTCTCAGTGCGGTTGTAACTTTGAACGGTCACTAAATGAATGCTAGGTCAAGGATGACCCCGTATCCTATCCAAGGTGGCGCAGTGGTTAGAGTGCAGCACTGCAGGCTACTTCAGCTGACTGCAGTTCTGCAGTTCAGTGGTTCTAATCTCACCGGCTCAAGGTTGACTCAGCCTTCCATCCTTCCGAGGTGGGTGAAATGAGGACCCGGATTGTTGTTGGGGGCGATAGGCTGACTCTGTAAACCACTTAGAGAGGGCTGAAAGCCCTATGAAGCGGTATATAAGTCTAACTGCTATTGCTATTGCTAAGATGCAGCAAGGTTTTGAAGAGGCAAATTTAAAAAAAATGTTTTGCACTGTGCAAATCTCCCAAAAACGGTCCATTTTTCGTGAAAATGGGCCCATTTTGTTTTCAAAAAAAGGTCATGTATAGCCTTCAGGAGGCTTGGAGAGTGCTCCTGGAGAGGTCGAGGGGAAATGAGCAAAAAAATGGCCCATTTTTTGTGAAAACAGGCACGTATTTTGCCAACAAAAGGGCATGGATAGCTTTTAGGAGGCTTATATAGTGCTCCTGAGGGCTGGGGGGTGGGTGGAATTGAGCAAAAAACGGCCTATTTTCTGCTTATTTCTGTCCTCCCCAGCTCCCAGGAGCTCTCTAAAAGCTTCCTAAAGGCTATGCATGGCAATTTTGGTGAAGGGGGCGGGGTTTTGGGAGGCACAAAATGTATTCAGTGTATAAGACGCACCCAGATTTTCAGCCTCTTTTTTGAGGGGAAAATGGTGCGTCTTATATTCTGAAAAATACGGTAGATTGTGGTGTCCTTTGTTGAATGCCTTTCCATCGTCTAGGAAGATTCTCAATCATCCAGGTCAGGGTTGTCCCAAAAGTGCTTTTTCCAATAGGCAATTGGACTTCCTTGCTTCGTTTTTTTCCCCCCTTTGAAAACATTTCGCTTCTCATCCAAGAAGCTTCTTCAATTCTTCAGAACTGGCTCTTCAGAACTGAAGAAGCTTCTTGGATGTGAAGCAAAATGTTTTCAAAGTGGGGAAAAAATGAACCAAGGAAGTCCTTGGAATCTTTTGGGGGGAAAAACAACCTTGGTGGACTTTGATGTTCATCCCACCGGTTGTGTCTTTGTTCTAGTTGAAGACCCCGAATTGGCGGCTGAAGAAGAAGGGGGCTGTGGGGAATCAGAAGACATCTTAGGAGAGGCTGAAGCAGAAGGTGGTGAGAGGGATGAGAACCTCAAAGACCCTTGGCAAGGAATATCTCCTCTGGTCAACGGGACGAGGAATGGTGCTGCCATTGCGGGAGGAGCTTCAACCCCAGAGCTCACTCCATCTCTAGCTGAAAGGAGCCAAGAACTATGGTCCACCCAGCAGGTAAGATCTCAATCCCGATCTCTTGATCCAGAGATCCCACTCAGATTTCTGATTCGGGTTAAGGTCAGTGTTCCACCTAACCCCTCGTTGCAATTCAGAACTCCTGAGACAAAGTCCATCAAAGTAAGATTTTATTAAGAGGAGGAGTCATATTGGCACTTCTGGGGAAAATCCGAATCTGAAATCCCGCGAAATCACACTAAAACCCACACCCTGTCCCGTCCAGTGACATTCGCATCACCTGGCCCAATCAATCCCCTGTTTCAGCTGCCGCCACACTTCGCTCACTCTCTCTCTCTCTCTCTCTCTCTCTCTCTC